TTAATAAATATAATTAAGAAATTAAGAATAAATCAATACACAAATAAACTAAAGCTAGAGTGTAGATAACACTGAAGTATGTCTGTGTATGTGTGAGGAAAGAGAGAGGCAGAGATTCAAGCATCACAAAATAAAAATCTATCTTCAAATGTTCAATTGTTTTAGGGAGCCTCGTGTCCCCATGAAAGTATAAGGCTGTGTAAAAGGGACCAAGCTAGAGGAGAAAACAGCATTACTGAAAAATAAGAAGGATGTAGAGAGCCCACTCAAATAAGAACCTATTTCTAACTATCCACTTATACATTCTTTTTGATTCATAACTTATTTTGCTGAGTTCTTGCCAAATTTTATTTGTGGGAAACATCTTATGTGAAAATATTGCAAGTGTTTTAAAACAAATTTCAAATTTGGATTTTATATCAGTCGTGAACACACGCCCCTTACTCCTCCGTCAATCAGTGTGTATAGCCTACATCTGCATTTCAAACACCAAAGCCAAGGCAGGTTAAGTTGCCCTCATGAAGAGGACCTCAAGCAGTATTAAGTCTATCAGAGTCTATAACATACTTCCTCTCAAACCCATGCATACCGTGGAGGACTGTGTCTGTGTAATCTGTCAGGGCTCAAACATTGGTAAGATAGCAATGTAACTACGACTTTAAGATAAACATACACAGAGTTTTCATGTTAATATATTGAATTCACTTCCCAGTTTCAAAATTGGTGTCATACTTCGGTGTTGCGAAAGTTAAGAAGACTTTGGGTTTACAGGGACAAAGGATACAGTGCATCCTTTAAGAAGTGCATAGTGGGGCTTGAAAGATGCCTCAGCAGAAATAAGTGCTTGCGGGGCTGGAGAGACGGCTGGAGCAGGTTAAGAATATTGCAACCATGAGGACTTGGGTTCAAATCCTGAGAACTCGCATATGAGAGCACAAACAAGGCTCTCATTGCCATTTCTTGGCCACTGACTTAGCTCCAGTTTCTGTGATAGACCTTACTTCAACGAAATAAATTAGGAGCAACAGAACAGGGTGCCTGAGAGGTTCCTCTGGCCTCTGTAGACACACATGTACATCACATGCAACTATTACACATCCCTCTGTTGACTGACATTTCTGTCTGCCCAGTGCTGCAGTCATTCTGTCCCAAAGAACACAGAGGTCTACATCAATCATAAACTGATTGGCCCAGTATCTCAGGCTCTTCTTATTAACTAATTCTTATAACTTAAACTAGCCCATAATTCTTGTCTATGTTGTCCATGTGACTTGATAACTTTTTCAGGGAGGCAGTCACATCTTGCTTCCTCTGAAGCTGGGTCACAACTGGAGACTGAGCTCCCCTCTTCCCAGAATTCTCCTGTTCTCATTGCCCTCCCTCTACTTCCTGTCTTGTTGCTCTGCCTATACTTCCTGCCTGGCTACTGGCCAATAACATTTTATTAAAAATAATATAAGAGACAGGGTACAGACCATTGTCCCACAGCATCTTTCTCTTTTTCTCTTTCTTTCTCTCTCTCCACACACACACACACACACACACACACACACACACACGCTAAAATCATGAATAGACTAAGTATTTCTAAAATCATCTATTTCCAGGTCCCTTGGCAGTCCTTGTTACAGACCACCTCTTTCTCATACACTCCAATAAAGTACTCAGGCTGCACCTTCAACAACGACGGCTGAGAAACCGCTGCTCAACCGGCAACATCATTATAGGAAACATCGACGCTACGCACCTCGGCTGAGCTTTCTACGGCTGTGTAGAGGAGTGTTGCTCCCGGAAGTTCCCACACTTCATGTGCTTCCGTCTCCATCCTCAGTTCTGGCTCATGTTTGTGCCCACGGTCCGCTCCTCATCACTATGTATATTCTCTAGCGTGACAAGTCTTTATTCCACCATGAGTCTTACCTGAGATCCCATCCAATATTTACACTTCTTTTTCTTTTGAAAGCGAACGTCACAAACTCTAGACTTTTCAAAAGCTGACTTTACCAAATCCATCCAGCCTCTGCTATTGCACAGATTCAAAGACACATTTTTAGGTCTTTGTTCGATTACTGCCCACTTCCCACACTATCAAAATTCTCTGTGACTTTCCTGTTTGTTCTCATGATACAGAACTCATAGTACTTTTGGAAGCCTCGGCTTCTTTACTTACAGAAGTCTGAACTGTGCTTGACTAGAACGAGACCAGGGTAACAATGGAGCTGTTTTCTTTTGTGGGCAATCAAAGGTAAAATAATCTCCCCTCATCCCTGTGTAGAGACAGCAAGCGTTCTGGCTCCCTTCCATCCTCGGGGCTGGAAATGGCGCGGGAAGCCTTTCTTCCACCATTTCATTCCGACCGCCTGTTTCTCACGCTGGCCTTCCCGTCTCCCGTTTTTTGGAAAGATCTGTATAATTACACTGGGTCCATACAGATATTGTGGTATAATTTCATCTGCAGCCTCTGTTTCCCTTTCATTTCATTTTTATTTTTAAAATAAAATCTCCCTCATGGTCTTTTGTGGTTGAACAAGAGAAATTACAGAAACCATAGCAATCCTGGGAGATTTAACAGTGCATTTTCAAATAAATAGTGGATTGCAAGAAGTCAGAGAGGAAATTTTAAAATCCTATAGTCAAATGAAAATGGAAATACAACCTAACTGAATCTCTGGGACACAGCCAAGTCGGTACTGAGTGGAGCCTTAATGGCTATAAGTGCTCATACCAAAAAAAATTTAGGAATTTCAAATAAACAACCTAATGATACAGCTCGAGGCTCCTTAAAAGCAACAAGAAATCAATCCCAGACACAATGAATGGCAAAAAATAACAGATTGGGGAAGAAATTAATGAAATGGGGACCAAAAGAATAACACACAAAATCAATCAGGCAAGAGTAGGTGCTTTGCAAAAGTTACCGAGATTGGCAGACCATTACCCAGCCTGTCAAGAAAGAGGAAGAGGCAGGAAGCATCAACTTTGGAGAAGAAAATGGAATCCTTAGAACAGACTCCAGTGAAAGCAGACCCTCAGGAGGGGATTTTTTTTTTGAAAGCTTAAACTCCCCAAAGCTCAAAAACCTAGAAGAAATTGCTGAGTTTTTAAAGTCAGAAGATGAAAACAGTTACAAATAGACCCATACAATCAATGAGAGAGAAAGTCGTCTCTCACAGGAACCCAGCACCAGATGGATTCACCTGGGTTCTACAACCCTGTCTTCTTTTAACTCTTAATGTTTTTCTTTATAACTTCACCACAAAGAGTTTGAAGACAAAAGAGAACGCAGCAAAATTAAGCAAACCAGAGGCTTCAGAATGAACTGCTCTAGGGTAAGAATTGCAGTTGGAACTGAAACTTCACACTGACTGGATCTTCACTTTGCGTCGTGGACTATGTTTTTATGCACATATTGCTTGTATTGGGTTTCTTTGCACTATTTACATTTCCTGACAGGGCCAAAGAGGTTGCAGAAGGCTTGCTTGGCATTGAGAATCTGTCTTTGTTAGCATTTCTGCTAAACTGGCATGACTTCCCTGTTCTCAACAGAGAGAAGACTTTAGGACAAGACACTCAGGAGTCAGAACAAACTTGAAGATGCAGTACCATTCAGGTGTCACTAGCTGCTCAGCAGACAATGTCTGTGAAAGGAGGCCGTACGAGAAAGACCAATGTCAGTGTAGCAGGGTAGCATCAAGAGTCCTTCCATGACCCTCACAGCCCAGCGGAGACACGTTCCTGTGCCCTCTGCACCTCCTACACGTTCCTTTACCCACCTTTAGCTTCTGCCCTGTGTGGTCAGTCCTATTCGCCACCGTAGCCCCATCTTCCCCCTGCTCGTGGGCCTTTCTTCTGTTTCTCCTGTTAGCACCAAGCTGCCTTTCCACCATCCTTTCCCAAATATGAGGAACTCTTAGATCCAACACTGACACCTTCATTCAGGAACATTTTATCTGTCACAGCCTTGCTCCTCCTCCAAACATTCATATAATTTAATTACTTTAAAACTAACAGGGCTGGCTCCTTTTCGTTATGTGATTTATCTTTGTATCCTTTTGGGGTCTTAAGTTCAAAGTAGTTTGAGGATATATTTTTCTACTTATCTAAGAGAACATCCTAAATTGGTTAATTTAGGAGTAAGCAAAGTGTATGATATAGCAAGAAAACAATGACAAAGCCCGAACCATAACCAGCATTGGAGCTGTGAGGTTTAGCTGGATCTTAGAGTCAAAATTTCCCTGGTTCCCGTAGTTGTGTTGATATTTCTGGCTAATTCTGTTTCTTTCCAATTCTATCCTTCCTTTATGCTGATTCTTCTGATGTTTGCTGTGTGGTAGGCAAAGCTGGGAGCCTCAGTGGAATCAAGGTAGTTGGTGAAGTCAGGAAGCAGATATGTCAAGAGACACTCAGATACTCTCTGTCTCAGAGTTCTTGGAGTTGAAGGATTGAGAAGACACCAGAAGTAATTCGATAGTATGTGTGTGTGTGTGTGTGTGTGTGTGTGTGTGTGTGTGTGAGAGAGAGAGAGAGAGAGAGAGAGAGAGAGAGATGATTTAAAAAATAGAAGAACAGCTATGCACACATTCATGTGCAAATAGAATTGTGTAGTGAAACCAAATAGAGGCAAGACCTTACTCAAAAGAAATTACATTTCTGTGACCACAAAATTATCTCTGCAAGGAGAAGATTGGCCTCAGACCTAAGAACCAGGCCACCAAAGCCAACCAAAGAGAGAGAAACTTCCCCACGAAAGAGTTAAGTTTCGAATTACGGAAACTACAGTTGCTCTGTACCAGCCTGTACTAGAGAGATGTTTCGATGTTTTCGTTTTGTTTTTAATATGCCAACTTTTCCTAGAGTCTCTCCTTTGTTTGCTTTTCCTTGTAGCCTTCCCTGGGGTGTGTGTGTGTGTGTGTGTGTGTGTGTGTGTGTGTGTGTCTTTAGTGGTTTGGAGGATGGCGATTGGGCGGGGAGCAGGACTCAGTTCTCCAGCTGAGCCTGGGAAGAGTGGGAGGGACTCGAGCCGAGGGTTTTTCACACCGCAGCCTTCCAGGCAGTCTTCCTCCAGTGTCTGCCAGTCGGATCCCGAGACTAAGAGCACAGCAGTGCACAGCCCGGGGAGTCAGCCGAGCTAGGACACCTGCGGCGCGGTGCCCCGGTGGTCCTGACCTCGCGTGACCGTACCATGGTGGGTTTGCGCCGCGGACTTGGCTTTTCTAATGTTTGGGGGTTGAAGAAAGGGGAGAGGCTTGTCACTGAGACGTGAAAGACACGGGAGAGCCCTTTGGGTCATGACGGGGAGAAACAAAGGCGAGGAGTAACTGTTTCGAGTAACGTAGGCACCGGGCGCTGGGGATGTTCCGTGGGTCCCGCCGCGCCCATGGAACCGATTGACAGAATGCGCCGAGTGTGTTTGGTGTGGCGGTGAGAGTCCCCGGGGAACCCGCGCGGGGACAGACAGGTGTGACTCCAGCGTCACCTCTCTGTCCACCGCCGGCGCTGCAGCTCTCTGTCTGAGATCCTGTGCGGTTGTGGTGTGCAGGGCAGCTGCGGGTGGTCGCGAACCTCGGTCCCCAGGTCTGGAAGCCACTGAGTAAGTGCTCGAGGCGCCCTCGCCGGCCCCACCGGGGCTCACCGGGCACGCGGCCCTCTGCCGAGCCCTGGCCCAGTCCTTTCCCACGCCCTCCCGGGATCCTGCCCAGCCCTGGGAAGCAAGATCACAGTTCCCACGCTAGGGAGAAGAGGGGAAGGGACTCCCGGGCGTGATGGGGAGTGTCCACGGAAGCAGCTCTGGCTGGCGCTGTGGGCCCTCAGTGGGGATGTGTCAGGCGTGGGCGGCTGTCTTCCACGCCCGGCCTCCAGCTCTGAGAAACTGTGTGGCCTCCCTCACCCAGTAGCAACGCTGGGACCTATAGCCTCCAGCTTGTAGACTCATCTGGGCTTTCCTCCCCCAGGGTGGACAAGCAGCTCAAAACCTCAGAGAATGCAAACTGCAAACTTCCAGTCGCTGCTGGGGCCCTCAGCAAAGTGTGTCTTGCATGCAGAGTGAGCGAGCCTGACTGCTCATTAGCCCGCCTTTCTCTTGTTATGACTGTGACACGCTGGGAGGGAAAGCAATGTCCTGGTCGGGCGTCACAACAGTCTCCTGGGCCTAGCTGAGTGGACAGCCTGTCCTGGGTTCTCAGAGCTGCCCCTAAGTGACTTTGGTGTGATGGACTGCCTTGCACTGTGGTCACGTGGTTCTGGGGTGCAAGTTTCTTGAACCTTTCTTTTGCTTTCTGGGGTTCACCGCATTGTCCCATCGTTCTGAATGTGATAAACAGTTTATGCCTTCTGAAGTAAGCCAGAGGGTTGATTGTTCAGCTCACTCCCTGAAGTAGTTGGTTACATCTTGGCTTCCAACATGGTGAAACCTTGCTGGGTTTAAAAGAATATACATTGCCTTCATTACAATTTTTGTAGTGGTTTCTTAGGATCAGCTCCCAACAATGCTTCTTGTCTGTATTCAGTCTAACTCCGGGCTTGGCGTTCACCTTCCTGTTGCATACACGGTGAGGCACTTAAAGATATGCAATTATGTCTCTCAGTTCCTCATAATGTATGTGTAATCTGTTGTTTTTCCTAAACTGGCGATGTAGTTTTTCTTCAGGAAGGTTCGCGTCAGGTGCTCTATTGTGAAGGGCACTGGTGGTCAAGCAAGGCAAAGGACGGCGACATGAAACTGTCTAGAGTCCTGAAGCTATAGGACATTGCTTTTGTTCAGCTATTTAGGGGTCTTGTACTCTCAGAAATTATAAGCAAGTGTTTGAGCTGTTGCATTTTTAGGAAAATAGAATGAACTCTGATGTACAGAGAAATTTGTGACCCATTAGGAAAATGAGGATGAGAGTTAAACTGAACAATTTCTGGTTCAAATCCTAGCCTCTGTATGAATCGTGTGCAGACACAGACTAGCAGAAGGTGTCAGGAATAGCACTGCAGTAGTTAAATTCTTCAAATGCTCGTGAGATGTCAGAGGGAAACGAATTTGTATACACTACCTGTGGGGGGTATGCAAATGTGGGAGGCTGCAATGGAAATTAGGATGGAGGTTCCTCAAAATATTTAAAAACAGAAATAACCACCTGATTGAGCTATATAAACTCAGGTATGTACAGGAAAGATTTTGTGTCGGCACACAACAGAGGTATTTGGTACATTAGCCAAGATATGGAACCAGCCTAGTGCCCAGCAACCAATGAATGGATAAAGACAATGCGGAAATACCCATGATGGATATACACACATTTATTCCTCTTTACAGAGGAATCAGATTTTGACATTTGCAGGGAAATGGATGGAACTGGAAACCATTCATAGAGAAACAAATCAGACAAAAGGTATTTTTCTCATATATAAAATCTAGTCATATATGTATATAAATATATATATATATGTGTGTGTGTGTGTGTGTGTTTTATATATAAAACTCTGTATATGAAAGAACTATGAGAAGGGGGAAGTGAGCCAAAGAGAGGAGGGATGGGAACAAAGAAGGGCAACTGGGTCCATAAAATATGAAAACAAGGAGAAATTATCTTGTGAAAACGGAGGTAAGCAAGGTGAGGAAGGCAGGGGCTCAAACCCAAACAATGTAGAGTACAATAATACATATACTTGAAAATGTCACAACGATAGCCCCTACTTTGTATACTAAATAAAATAAAAGGAGAAAAGTTCATATGACGTAGACGTGAGCCCATTATTAACTGCATCCCTTGCAAGCATGAGTCCTATGGAAGTTACTTAATAGAAGTCTGGGATGCGTAGATGGGAGCATTTTGTTTCTACTTGCACTATTAGATCTCTTCAGTTATTACAGAAAATAAAACACAATTCTCTTGTCGAAATCAACCTGAAATACAATATGGTGTCCCATGGCATGTAAATAGCCCCAGAGAAACCTCATTATACATGTTCAGGCATAATATATGGTTAGCTTCTGCCATTTGAGAATGAGGGAGGAAATGTGAAGTCATGATTTATATCAAGCAATAGGAAAGAATTCATAATATTTAGTGCTAGTGTCTCATAACTATGGCTTATTAGATAACCTTGTCTCAAGACATTCTGGAAAGTTGTCTTAATTTGTTGACGTCATTGCAAGCTTAAGTAACGACACTAAAATTGTGCTGTTATGAGTAATGCATCAGTAGAATAACAAGAGCATTAAATTGTCAATGATTTGGGATATCCTCAGACTTTAAAAAACAACTATTCTTCTGAACAATTAAAATCATGTAACATTGGATTGTGTCAGAAACAATGGTAGAAATACCAGTCCTCTTAGTTACTGGCACTAGTGTGTATATGGGAGAAGGGAGAGTATTGATTTTGTTTAGAAGTTATTTTAAGAAGCTTGATATGTTTCTCATGTCTCTAGTGAATCTTTAAAAAAAAAACCCACCAAATTAGCTTTAAGAACGAGTCTCCTTAAGTGAGAGGGAGTGAAAAGCAGAGTAACATTTAGACAAACAAGCTAAAATCTGTTATTGATGCTGGTGGGGGGAATGGTAGGATGTAGCGGGTTGGAATTACTTTCGATGTCAGATTCACAAGGAAGTCGTTGGCTTTGCTTGTTTTTTTTTTTTTTTGAGAAGATATTCACCTTTAAAGGAACTATTTGGAACTATTTTTATGCAACTTGATTAGAACTATTGACCCAAGAAACTCTCCTTAGGCATCCCATTGATCACGTTTCAGCACATTTGCAGAAGGAACTGTCTCTTTCCCGAGCATCTATAATGACAGTGGTTGTCCTTTCTGGGCCGTCTAGGTCTATCCTCTGAGCAGCAGTTTCCTTAGCTGTCACCATCTTACCCTGGCACAGGAGCTTCCAACAATCTCGATGCTTTAGTGGTTCAGTGTCTTTGAAAGAGTTGACTTATTGGAAGCTGGGGTGCTTGCTTATCCATCGTGTTCCTGATGACTCATTTTCTTTACGCTATGTAGTTTCACTCACTCATTCCGGGGGTGTGCGTCTGTGCATCTCTGTGTGTGTGTGCGTGTGTGGGTGTGCATAGACCACAGCACACATGTGGAGGTCAGAGGATAGCTTTCTGCGTATGCTTACCTCCTCATGTACGTATCTTGGGGGTTAAACTCCGCTTCTCAATTGTTCAGTTAAGAACCTTTACCTAATGAACCATCTCGTGAGCTCTTTTATTCTTTTCAGGATCATTCTGAAATACTTTACCTATTTCATATATCTAGGCCAGTAGGCGTCCACTTCCTCTAGTCCAGAGAGCTTGCCAAAAACCTACAATTGTTTTGAGGACAGGTGAGAGGAGATTGGTTCGGGCACCTTCAGAGCACCAAGAGAGAATAACGCTTATTAAAGCTGCAGAGGCTCTAGGATATGGTTTTATTTTTTGTCACAGATATGTGGCTGTTGGTGCCTGTGGTTACTAAAGTCCCTTGCCCAGCATGCTTCCCAAGTAGTATTAATCTTTTATTAAAGCAAGCTTTCTTTTTGTACAATGGAAGCCGATCTAACTCGCCTACCGGCTACTCCCACATAGTAAGGACCAGCAAGAACTCAACCAGGAGATGGTGGCTGAAAGGAAGCTAGATAAACTCCCACATTAACCCTCCGGCCACCTTTCCATCTTGCCACACGACATGGAAGGTATTTGTTTCAATGTCTGCATCTCTGGCCAGTCTCAGTTCTCTGCCACATGACTCACAAAGCTGTGCAGGCCACACAGTAGGTGTCTAGTGAGTTACTCCTTGCTGGTACTGAGTTAAGGCATTTTGTGTCCGATGCCTTGGGTAATATTATTCATGAACACTGTGCAGAGCACAGTACATGTTTTGGGAACACGCCTGTGGATTGTTACAAGCATGGTCACACTGATGTCCTTCTGTGCATTTATACAGGCTTTTCATCCTGTCAGAACCACCTGATGTGTCATTTCTCTCACCAATTGCACTTTCATCCATTACGCTTGATACCCGTCTCCATTGTGGTACCCGTCTCCATTGTCAGTACCCACTGACCTTCTGAGCATCCCCCAGCCCCTCCAATCCAGACCAACAGAGGCTCCACAAACCGCCTTTCAGGCTGTCTGTGCGGTCAGGCCTTTCTTCAATATCTACTAATGTGCTGGGTCTATTTTCGGCTTTGACCTTAACCAGCTCGACTCTCTA